TGTCTCTTTCTCGCTCATCACTCTGTCTCTCTATCTCTTTTCTCTATTCGTCTCTCACTCATCTTTCTCTCTCACTACCCATCTTCTCTACCACATTTACCACTACTGCAAATGCCATTCAACTACCACCACTCTTCTCTTTCTCTCTTTCACTCATCACTCTTATTTCTCTGTCTGTTTGTCTATCTATCTGTTTGTCTGTTTGTCTGTGTCTTTCGTTCATCTTTCTTCTCTCTATTTCTCTCATTTGTCTTCTCTCTATGTCTCCCTCGCTCATCTCTCTTCTCTCTATCTCTCTCTGTCTCTCTCACTCATCTATTTTCTCTCTATCTCTCTATTTTTCTATTCTCTTTATCGTTCATCTCTTTTCGCTCTCTTTCTATATGTCTCTCTCATCTCTTGTTTATCTCTATTTTTCTATATGTCTCTCTCTATTGATTTCTCTCTCTGCCTCTCTATCTCTCTCTATATCTCTTTTTCACTTTATCTCTCTCTCGCTCATCACTCTGTCTTTCTCTCTCTTCTCTATCTGTCTCTCACTCATTTCTCTCTCTTACCACCCATCTCCTCTATCACCTTCACCACTACTGCAAACACCATTCCACCACCACCATTACTTCTACTGTAGCCACTTCACCTCTACGACTACCATTACTACTACTATCGCCACCACTCCACTACCACCATTACCTCTCTTTCACCCCTGTCACTCCATTTACACTACCACTACCTCAACTTCACCACTAATCTGTTTCGCCATCACCATCACCGCCGCCACCACCATCATCTCTTATCCACCACCTTCAATACTGCTGCCACTCATTTTCCTCTACTACAAAAAATTAGTTCATGATTTTTAGTAATAAAAAAAATAGACCGCAGAAAAATATTTTTCATTGACTACAAAAAATTAACTTTTATTTTAGTAAAAATATTTTTCATTAAAATATATATGAAACAAATCAACTTTAATAATGGAAAGAAAATAAAAATTATTATTTATTTTTATTTTATTATTTAAATATTTATTTATGATTTTTTCTTTTTTTTTCTTTTTTTTTCACCCCGCCCGCTCGGTTCCCCTCATTTTTTCCATTCCCGCGCCCCAAAATCCCCAATCTCTTTAGAACCAAAAAAAACCCTAAATCTAATCGTCTCCCTCACATCACTCTCTCAGTCGCCTCTCTCTCTCTCTCTCACCCTCTCGTTTATCTCTGCACCGATCACTTTCATCTCTGCACCGATCACTCTCTTACTCTCTCGTTGCTCATCTCATCGAT